ACTATACCTTTGCGAAATTATTAAACGTCGTATACTTATATATGTACCTTTTGAATACAAAAACATACCACATATACGTAAACATTAAACATAGTACAAAAAGGGGTTGAGAATCTAGTGAGATATGTCGGTTGGCACCTCTGAGTGTACGATCGTAGCCTGTAGTTATAATCAGAGTTTCCTGCTAGGAAAGCGGGAGTTGTGTATAGATCTATACGGGGTGACCCCCCACGCCTTAGCTATTCGCTACAGCTAGACTAGGCCAGTCTAGGGCGACAAAATCCTTAGCAAGACCGGCATTTGGAAAAATACCAAGACGGGCGACCTAGTCATTATCATGCATGGTTATAACGGCTCATATAGGGATTCAATACCAAAAGTTTAACCTTTTGAAGATAAACTCTTTAATTGTGTCAATACAAAATGACTTATCTAATGATACAAGAATCTAGACGTTGTTATAAAACAGAAAATATTGGATTTTCTGGGGAAATTATTCAAAATACAATGAATCTAAACTACACTCATACAAGTTTTAACTATGAAATTCACACATGCATTTATACTTGATTTCCACATTTATTTTCAAACATTTTACAGAAAATATCGGATTTTCTGGGTTTTTATGAAAGATACAAAGACTTTTACTCAAACATACTTATGAACTCACCAACATTATATATGTTGACCGTTTTCAAAATAACTTGTATTCTCAGGTAATCGTTAAGCTGGAAGATTTGCAAGTGTGTATGGTTTCGTTTTATGTAACAACACTTATCGTACTTTAACAATTGGAACTTATGTATTTTAAAAATGTACTTAATGAGAACAATGTTAGTTGTATTATGTAATATTGTTGATGAATGTGTTATGTTTCATGTATATTCATTGTGATGATTATTCAATTGTTAGTCACACGAGCCCCCGGATGTTTCCGCCGTCTGGTTCGAGGGTGTGACATCCTTTTACTCTTTCCTTACTCTCCAAGGCTTTCTAGAAGCCCTAGAGAGCTCCCACAAAACCGTCCCTTCTAGGGAGGGTCTCGAAGCTTTCCTTTGCTCAACTGTTAAACATTGTCACCTTTAGTCCCTACACTTTTAATTAATCCAATTAATCCCAAAATTAATTCCAATTAATTTCAGATTAATTATTAATTGAATAATAATATTTCTAATTAATATATTAATCTCATAATATACTATAATATTATTTATTGCTATTTACTAATCATATAATAAATCAATAAATCAACCTCTCTCTTCAAAATTAATTTTTGCCAATTACTAGTTTTGAGGGCAACCCAAAAAAGGCTTTATTTTTAATTCAAATATATATCAATTTAGTTATTGGCTTAGACACCTAATCCAATATTGACCAATTTAAAATGCTTCATGGACCTTATGGACTAGGAAAGTTGTGATCTTTTGCCTTCCCACATAGCCATGCGACTTATCTTGGCCCTTTAGGTCATTTTGGTGTATTAAAGTTTAGATCTTGGAAGCTTGAGACATTATTATGGATAAATTTGGAAACTTTATCCATCTAAACATCATTGTTGATTCAGATATGAAGGTTGGAGACTTGGACTTAAGGGATTAAGTGAAGAAAGATGAAATTTTGGGTCCCTTTGAGACATAACGTCTACATCTTGATGGTTTGGATCTTCCGAATGGATAAAGTTAGAAACTTTATGCATTAAGACATTGGAAAGGATCATATTTGAGCTTTGGAGCTCCTGAAATCAGAAGAAAATGGATTAAGCTCGTTTGAGCGGTTAAAACCAGTCCCCATGGCATGGCCTTAGGCTGCCACGACTTGGCTTCTGGGGAACCCCTTACTAATGTGATTAACTGATTATAATAAGTATTTATTTTATTATATTATTTAAAATAATTATAATTTTATATATCAATTTAATATATAAATTATTATTTTATAATTGGTAATAGTTACATAATTATTTTTGCGACACGTCAAAAGTTAGGGAAATAGACTTATTAAGGTAATTAACTTTTCAATTTGTTCACATCTGAGTAACTATCTTTTTTTCGTACACATCTAGGTAACGAATTTTTTGAAAGTATTCACATATGACCATTATGACCGGCTGTAGCAGGTTACATCTGGTCATAATGGTCATATGTGAACACTTCCAAAAAGTTCGTTACCTAGATGTGTACAAAAAAGATAGTTACTCAGATGTGAACAAACCGACAAGGTAAGAATAAATTACACGAATGGTCCTTGTGGTTTGGGTAATTTGTGCGTTTGGTCCCTAACTTATTTTTTAACTCGGATGATCCCTACTGTTTATTTTTATTGTGTGTTTGGTTTTGTCTTACCTTAAAAGACTATTGTGCCCTTTTTAATTTATTTTTTAATTATTTTTCTTATTTATGTATTTGTTTTTTATATATTTAAAAAAAAATTAATAGACCCCAGATCTCTGTCTCTCCTAAAGATGGAAATGAAATAGAAATTGAGGAGGATGAGAGATGAGATGGTGACTGGTGGGACCCAAATTAAATTTCTCAAATGTGGTTTTAGATTTAGGGTGAGGAGATACAGATATATTGGGTCTATTAATTTTTTTCAATATATAAAAAATAAATACATAAATAAGAAAATAAATTAAAAAGGGCACAATAGTCTTTTGAGGTAAGAAATGGACCAAACGCACGACAAAAATCAATAGTAGAAATCATCCGAGTTAAAAAATAAGATAAGAACCAAACACACAAAATACCCAAACCACAAGGACCATTCGTGTAAATTACTCTTATCTTTTCGGTTTGTCACATCTAGGTAACTATTTTTTTTTACACATCTAGGTAACGAACATTTTGGAAAAATTCACATATGACGATTATGACCGGTTATGACCGGATGTAACCTGCTACAGCCGGTCATAATGGTCATATGTGAACACTTACAAAAATTTTGTTATCTAAATATGTAAAAAAAAAAAAAATTACCAAGATATAAACAAATCGAAAAGTTAATTACCTTAATAAGTTTGTTTTCCCAAAAGTTAAAGTAAATAATTTAAATTTGCTTTTTTTTTTTTTCATAACATTTCCCTAGTTGTATATAAATTTTTGAATATTCAAAGTCAACAAGAGTACAATTAAATTGAAAAAAGCAAAAAACTAATGATAACACAGTTGTGAATGTAATCTTTTAGACCCCTAATCACGTGAAATTATTTAAAATATGCCTTAATTTACTGAAAAGAAAACACCTCTCACAGGTTTATAATCCTACCCTTTGTCCGTTTATTCTTGTTTCCATGCATGAATCCAATTTTTATTTTTATTTTATTTTGCAGAAAAAAACCCGATGCTAACTGATCTTCGTAAACCAGTCGTTATATATATACGTTTTAAAATTCACTGCTAGTAAAATAAATGTATCTTAGCCAGTTAAGGAAAAAATATATTTTGACAGAGACCCAAATAACTAAAGGTGGTAAAAAAAGTAAGCTTGACCAACTATCCAACCCTCTTTTTTTCTGGCTTCCCAATAAATTTTATGAATAATAGGGCTGGTCATTTGATTTTATAGGCCATGTGCCTAAATTAAAAATGAGTCTTTCAATATAAATTTTTATATAAACAAAAGATATTAAATATTAATATATAATTGTTATAAAATTAATCAAATTAAAAACTATCTTGATCCTTTACTGATGTGTCCCTAATTCATTATTAATATTAATGTATGTAAAAAAAATGAACCCCAAAAACGACATGAGCTATATACAGTCGCATACCCCAAACATACCAAAAGCAATGAGTAGTTATTGCATTTATGGAATAAAATTATAGGCTTGTAACATTATAAATACTCGATTTTAATCTTAAAATCTTTATTATGTTTAAGATCCTAAGGATGAAAAACAATCTCTCCGTTTAAAAACAAGAAGAATGTAGATATCTTGATATATAATAAAAGTGTCTTCAATCATTCAATTAGTTGTAATCACTCGCTAACTTGTATGGACATTTTGTTCGCAAAGTATCCATACTTCTATATTTATTCACATTTTAAGCATGCATGTAAATGTGCTAAAAAAGTGTAGGGGAAATATTAATACGTAGCACTTATGGTAAAATTTTAAAAACTACTTATTAATTTGATCCGTTGGATATTTAATGTATCCAAAATTGATAAAATTTTATGTAATTGGAATGAAATTACTATATATACGAAAAAAAAAATGATTTCAAAAAATGGGATTTTTGTCGTATATTTATTGTATCGATCCATGTAGTTTTCGATCTTGTTCTATAGGTATTTACATTATGTAACTAAAAATGACCCAATTTAGTAAATTGATCAAAATTGTTACATCTACGAAAAAACCATATCCACAAAAAGTAAATTTATTGTTGTGCTTCATTAATTGATATATTGTTCTATCTTTGACTCTTGTTATGTGGGTATTTAAATTTGATCCACAAGGGATATCTGGTATTGACATTGTGCACGTCAACTCAAGTGGTTGAAAGTTAAAGTTTTTTTTTTAGGGACAATTGTGTAGTTTAGGAGTATATTAAAGAAACATAATTAAAATCAACATATATATTATCTCAGATAAATTGAAATCTATACCTCTCTGAAAAATCCTGATAAAAAAAGTGATGTTATAGTTTTTATGGATGTATATTTTGAATCTTGTTATGTGCGTATACAAATTTACCTTGAGAATTTTCAAGAATGGTCGTATACATGTTTACAACTAGTAACGAGTGGCCACAGGCTCTCTCTCTCTCTCTCTCAATTATTAAGTCTTTAGACAACAAAACATGACCCATGTCTTTTGTTTTCTAGCATTTGGAAGGAGTATCTATCTCCATCTTTCTGTTTGTTTTTCATCTTCTTCTTCCACACTTCACATACCAAAGCCAAAAACAACAAAAACACCGCATAATTCTTTCTTCTTTTGTATCTAGTTTCCTAAACATTTTTAGCATTAGACCCATCACAAGAATGAGTTGATGGCATCCGGAGTTCATGTTATGGAGAAACCGATTCAACTTCAACAACATCACCAACAACAGCAACAGCAACAACAACATCAACTGCAACAACAACAACAACATCAACCACATGAAGCGTTGAAGTGCCCACGATGTGATTCATCGAACACAAAGTTTTGCTACTACAACAACTACAGTTTGTCGCAGCCAAGACATTTCTGTAAAGCTTGTAAGAGGTACTGGACCAGGGGTGGTACCTTGAGGAATGTCCCTGTGGGTGGTGGTTGCAGGAAGAACAAAAGAGTCAAGAGACCAATCACGACTACTGTTCATGCTGCAGCTAACACGAACCCAAATCATAATCATAATCATAATCCTAACCCTAGACCTAACCCTAGAGATCATAATCATCTCCAATCTTCCACCACCTCAAATAGTAACAGCAATCATCATCTCAACCCTTTGTTTTATGGGTTATTACCTCAAAACCCCAATTACCCAAGATCTGATGCTAGGGTTTCTAGCGTAAACGAAAACCTTGTTTCTGGTTATGATCTTCCTCAACCTCATATGAATGTACAAGGATTAGGGTTTTCGTCTATGGGACAAGGAGGTTCACTTGTGGCTAACCATGGTCATAATTCAAATTTAACTTTTTCAAACTACAACTCCTCCATGTATGGTGGTGGTTCGACTACTAGCTCCACTAGTGCTCCTACCATGGCTTCTCTCTTAGCTTCAAGCCTTAACCAGCAACAAAGATTCATGGGGTTTGCAAGTTATGATGGTGGTTCGATGGTTAAAGATCTGAAAATGGAAGAAGCACGAAACAGGATGGAATGGAATAACAACAATTTTCATGTACATAATAAGCATGATCAAATCGAAGCGGCTGTTTCTTCTGATCCGAATTCTCTTCTATGGGATACCGATGGTGGAGGTTGGCAGCTTGATCCTTCAACCAACATTGGTTCATCGGTTCCTTCCTTGATCTAATTCGAAATCCCCATCATTTTTTTCCAGTTAGTTTCCGAATGATCTTTTTTCACATGATCACCTTCTTTTTTCACTAAACTTTGGTCTGTTTTAGTTAGTTTAGGCAAAATTCATGTCAAAGCATCGATGGGAGGGGATTGGATCGGAGTGATCATGTCAGCTAGCAAAGTAAATTTCAGCCTTTTAGATTTTACACCAAAAGGTTGGAAAATAAAAGATCAGTTTTGCGCTGAGAGGAACCTCGGATCCTCTTCATCTCATCGACCCAAGTTTGATCATCAACAATTTATGCAAGAATCTGCAATACCAAGAATTTGGGTTCAATACTCCTGGTGTGTTCTTCTATCTTTTCTTGTGTATATAAGTAATATGCTCTATATAAATTAGGGTTTGTGGTGGGTTTTTCAAGGAGTGGATATTTTTGTTTTTTCTTTATGGATTAAGAGGGAAAGAATGAGGGTATATTGGTATAGAAGAGAGGGGGATATGTTTAACGTTCAATCTTTCAGTGTAATGTGTTTGAATTTGATCTTGTTCATCGTATTATAATTAATATCCAAATTTTAAACTCGCTATTTATGGTTTTTGATAAAATGATTGTATAATTCTTTCAAATCAATTGCATTGCGTTGGGTTGATAACACGTCATAATACACGTACATCAATCAAATCAACAAATTACAATCAGATTTCTTAGCCATTTTTCGTAATTAAAGATATAATTAAAAATAGCTATATATTGTTGACATATCGAATGTTTTTATATGAGTTAACCAGGAATCTTGAAATCTGTGGACATGTCTATATAAGATGAACTTTATTAGATTCTTTTAACTGTCTCTTGGAATGCGGAGCACAAAGCACAAACATTGTGCATTTTATGTAACTGGAGTCACGTACCTTGGTGTTTGTGAGCTTTGTTAATTTCTTATAATAAGATTTTTTTTTTATTAATTTCAATTATATATAAATGTATGTAAACTCAATAAGTCAAAAAACTGTATACGTCATGAAATAATAATAATATCTTCGATTACTCTATGTTGTCTTTAGGAAGTACGTACATAGGTTCTCGACCTAATATATGGGAAATGGTCGAGACATGTGTATCATAATTAAACTTCATATGTGAAACGTATATGAATCTTATTATAACTTAACTAAATCAAAAGTACACTTTATACCCTAAAAAATAATATTTTCACACGCTAAGACTACATTTTATATATGCCCTAAAAAAAACCTGATATATACTAAGAATTAGTGGTAAGCAGTAGAGCATGATACTTGGTTTTGGAACTGGAACAGTCTCGGAACCGCATGTTGCGAAACTGAAACTATCTTATGCGATTCCGATTCCAGTTCGCAAAGTTTTGGAACCGCCTTAAGCTGTTAACATATATATATATATATATATTATATATATATATATATATATATATATATATATATTATATATATATATATATATAATTTGAATGTATACTTTTTTCATTTCAAATTAAATAAAAGGCTACTGTTGTAATTTTCTGAATTCAAATCAAAACGTAAGGCTCCTGTTATAATTTGCATGTATCCTTTAGTGCATTTTAACTCTTGGGTGAGCGAAACATTACCACATATGAGTTATGAATGAAAGCCCGGTAGTTATCTTCGTGTTTATCGCCGTTAAAGAAAAAAATATTGATAAAAAACACAGTTATAAGATTGCTAGTTATGAAAGTTTAAATTGTTTTATAACGGATTCAATTGGTTCCGGTTCCGGTTCCGTCATCTTAGGAATTACTTCCATCAAATATGGTTGGGTATCTGTTTATGCTCACCCCTACTAAAAATACATACATTGTTAATTATTTTCATGTTTTTTACTTTTGTTTTGAGAATGATTACATTGTTTTTCAATGGCAACCAAGAATGATTACATTTTAACTTGAATGCTTTTGCCCTTTACATCTAATCTATGATAAATCATCTTTATTATATTATTAAGAATATTAGGTACCCCGATCGATCAATTGGTATTTAAAATTCGTATTTCATTGATCCTATTTATGCAGCACAAGAAAAACACAAGTTTGATAATGAGTTTCGATGTACTTAATACAAATAAAATAACGATAAGATACAGAAAATTAAAAGCGATCATAACATTTCTTATATTTTATAAATGTATGGTGATTTTGTACGTTAATTCCTTGTGGTCCAAATCTATCTTCTCATTCATGTGCACCCCAATGAACTCTCTTTCTTAAAGCTGATTTCAGCACGTGCCTCCTTCCCACTCATGTCTAAATTCTTTTAATAAATATCATTATTTAATATTTTAGAATAAAACCATGACACTTGATAAAATGTGATCATTTATTAATTTTTAAAATTAAATTTTTGTATTATGTTTTGTTATTAATGGATAAGCACAATGATGTGCTACATGTATTTAACAATATACTCTTTGGCGTTTGTCCCTTCATTTATTGTTTGTAATTCTTGATAATTAATATACCACATGTTTGAACTGTCTCTATATCAGTTATCAAAGGAAGCATTCTACCAGTAAGGCAAATCAAATTAAATATTAAGTTGAATGATATTAACTATGGACTAGCACAGTTTGCATTAAAAGTTGTAACATGTACACCATTTTAACATAGAAAAAGCTTTCTCTTTATGCGCATGCATGTTATGTATATGATGCTTTAGCTTTTGTGAGGAACATATAAGATCATGCATGTGTGCACTAAAGGTACAAGATTTACGCATAAAGATTCAAGATTTTGTATATATAATGTATTAAAACTACTTGTGAAGTGTGTTATGCATGAACTGTATTATCAATTAGGAATTCTAAAAATGTCGATACCATGGTTTCAAAAAAGGATTTAAATCTTTGTATGTTACATGGGATACATTGGTTATGTTCGTTTTTGTACGTCCATATACACCCCCTATTAAATGTATACACCCCTTCTATAACAAATAAAACAAACAAGTCGATTTTATTGCTTGTTTTTATCAGGTCCAATAATGCCAATTATCCTAATGAGTTTCATGGACTTAATAGACCTATAATATATCAAATTTCGATCATTTGAAATCTTAACAATGAGTGAGCACATTGTTAGAAGCATCCTTTGATATACGTCAGATCATAGCAAGGGTTATGAACGTCGGGACATTTGCTACTAGCGTCGTATGAGAATCAATACAAGAAACAAGGTCATTACCGGCGACATTATTGGTGGCGACGGTGGCTTTTAGCGGCGACTTAAGCTTGTGTCGCCGCTAAATGCCTTCGTCGCCGCTAATAATGTCGTCGGTAATGGGTTGAGGCCGAATCCGCACTAACATCTTCCAGTGAATCTCAACTATTTGATTGATGAGCTAATCCAACGACTGGGGTTAATTTCCGCACAAAGTCAATACCGGTGACAATTTGTCGCCGCAAAAGGTTGATATTGTCGCCGCTAAAAGTGGAATAAAAAAGGCGTGGTAACCTTCCCTACAGACTTGTCGCCGCTAAAGAATTAATTGTCGCCGCTAAAAGAGTCGTCGGTAAAGGCCTGCGTAGATAAAAAAAACAACGCTGACCTCACTTTCTACTTCTTTCTTCTCTATTCATCTCCCGTTTTCCCCCCTATTTTCTCTGCATCAATATCGCTTCAGCCGACGAAGGGTATTACCCATTGTGCGATTATTGATCAAAGGGGTTTAGGGCTTCAATCTCCGACGGAAAAAACTTCAATTCCGGCGAAAAAGTTCTTTAAAATCGGGTAAATGGTAGCTTCAACTTCTGATTTCTCTTTCTCTTTCTCTTATAACATTGATTTTCCAGGTCCATTTTATGATTAATTGCAAAATACACTTCAATTTCAGTTTTTTTTGGTCTATTTGTCTTGGTCAACGTCGGGGGTAGAGTGTGACTACCGAGGACCACCACTGACCACTACACCATCTCTCAATTCCGGCCACAACATGTTCTTTTTACTTTGAATTTCGAGATTTTGTTTGCAAAATATGTGTTTATATATATTATGTGGAATTTGGTATATGTGTGTATAAATAGTGTATTTTTTTCATCATCAAGTTTTTTTTGGTGTATTGATGTACGTATGTGAAAATATATGTATTGGTGTATCTATGTGTGTATAATATGTAGATGAAAACATGTGTATTTTGTGTAAGTAGAATGCTATTATGTATATATATGAGAAAGTATGTACGTATGTATATGTAGTATATGTATATATGTGAAAGTATGTATATGTGGTATATGTATGTGACAGTATGTGTATTTGATTATATTAAAAATATCTTTAATGCGGAAAAGGACACTCTTTGGAGGCGAGTGATTGGTAGTAGTCATAGATGAGAAAGGAAGCCTATTCACTCTTGGGCTAAAAATTCTTTCCTGGGCACTTGGAGTAGTATTGTCAATGTCTTCTTGACTTTTGGCGATATTGGTATTGATTTTTCAGATATTTTTGAATTTCAGGTGGGGGATGGCAAGAAAATTCTGTTTTGGCTAGATGATTGGCTAAAGAACGGAACTTTGGCAGTGAAATTCCCTTCTTTATATGCGTTAGACAAGAAGAAAACTTGCTTTTTAAGTGATAGATGGGCTGATGGCACTTTCTCATCGGCTTGGAAGAGGAAACCCAACAATTCTCAAGAGTTGCTGGAATTGAACTCTATTGTGGATATCACAAGGTTTGTTGTGAGCTCCAATGGGCCTGATACTTAGAGATCGAGGTTAGCTGTCGATGGTTCTTTTCGTGTGTGTGATATTAGGGCTCTCATTGACAGTAAATTGACCGTCCCGGTAAATAACCCCACAGTTTGGCTTCACTTAGTTCCTATAAAGTGTATTAGTTTTGTTTGGAGAGCTTGTATGGGGCGTATTCCTACGGCAGTGGCTCTTTCCAAGAGAGGTATCAACCTTTCTTCTATTTCCTGTAAAATGTGCTTTATTGGGGTGGACGTTGCGGATCATATTCTCTTGG